CTTAGGTTGCCTACCCCTGGTCTAGATCAAGGGAAGTAATAGTGCCATCTATTCTGCTTTAGTCAGGCCTCACCTGGAATAATGAGTCCAATTCTGGGCACCACAATTCAAAAAGGATGTTGAGAAGCTGGAGCATGTCCAGAGGAGGCAACCAAAATGGTAAAGGGTTTGGAAACTATGCCCTATGAGGAGAGACTTAGGAAGCTGGGTATGTGTAGCCTGGAGAAGAGAAGATTAAGAGGTGATATGATAGCCCTCTTTAAGTATTTGAAGGGTGTCGTATTGAGGTGGAGCAAGCTTGTTTTCTGCTGCTCCAGAGACTAGGGCCCAGAGGAATGGATTCAAACTACAGGAAAAGAGATTCCATCTCAACATTTGGAGGAACTTCCTGACAGTAAGAGCTGTTTGCCAGTGGAACACACTCCCTTGGAGAGTGGCAGGGTCTCCTTCTTTGGAGGTTTTTAAGCAGAGGCTGGGTGGCTATCTGTCAGGGTTACCTTGTTTGTGAGTTCCTGCATGGCAGGGGGGTTGACTGGATGGCCCTTGAGGTCTCCAACTCTATGATTCTATGACCAGCTTTAAGTAGAATCTCAGCCTGGGAATTGTAGTATAGAAAAGTAAGGCAAGATCCTTTATGGAAGATGTAGCTACATAGCCACAGTCTGTTTCCTGATCTGGCCCCCTAAAACCCAGCATCAAAACCAAACAATTGCATCAACTGAAGAAGTTCTGCAACACGGATGAGCACTGAAAGATGCTGTATCTAGACCTCTCTCGCTAGCAAGCTGTGGTGCAGCAAACAGCAACAGGGACCGCTGTGAGATCCTCTTTGAACTGCTTGTCATGTTTCAGTTCACTGGTGGGAGGGGGATGTCCTGTAGTCCCTCATGCTGCAGAACTTGCAAGTGGTGCAAAACCCATCCATTGGTGGGGCTACCTCACTTCTGAGGTAGGCATTTGCAACTATAGCAATGTTGCCATGGTCGGAAATGTGAAAACCAAAATTTATGAGGCCCTAGGTCTGGTTTAAAATGTCATAAATACTGAACAGGATGCTAGCAATACTTTTTTCTGTTCTCTGAGTATACTGCATTTGTCAGTTATACAGAATCTTTTATGGCACATTATTACACACAGAAAAGAAGAACACACATCAACTTCTCTGCCTCCTACAGGTAAGCAAAACAAAACAAAACAAAACAAAAAACACATGGAATGCCATTGCAGCTATGAAGGAATCTAATGCATATTGATATATTATAACTCATAATCCATTTCCCCACACACTTAGGGCCTCGGCAGACGGCTAATTGAGCCGTCCTGGAGGCAGGGAAGAGGAGGGGCAGCCGCACGATCGGCACCCCTTCCTCTTCCCGAGGTTGCCCTCGGAGCAGCCGGCCCTCTGTACGGCCGGCACTCCGAGGGCAACCTCCCGCCGCAGCGTCCACGCACGCTGCGACGGATAAGTCAGTGAAAGTGCACCCTATGCTTTTGGGGTGCACTTTCACTGACTTCTAAAAGGAGCGCTGATTTAGCGCTCCTTTCAGGGTCGCCGACGGTGTGCCGTGGTGTGGATGCCGCGGTCCCATGGCGCACCATCCCACGGCGTCCCAGACGCCCTCGTCTGCATCCCCCCCTTAGTTTCTACAAAGAACACTACTACAATAGCAAAGAAGATAGACAGTTCATTAAGAGTGTTTATCCACTTCTTCATGCCCAGGTAGACCCCTTGGTATCTTAATGCAGATGAAAATGCTCATATCTAGAAAAAGGTATGGATGTTTCTGGACAGAGTTTATCATTAAATTGTGTGTGTGTGTGTGTGTGTGTGTGTGTGTGTGTGTGTAACATATATATATATATATATAAAACCTTGTCAGTAAAGTCTTACTATTCATTCTAGCCTTCCATCCTTTCTTTCCTCTGGCATGAGCAAGCAGAGCTGACCTTCAGTTCACTTCTGCCAAAATCCTGACACAGATTAGGCCATTATGTCAATTTCATGGGCAAAGCTCTATAAATGCTGGGCCAAGCCCTGTGTGAAGGATCAGTTGCAGTTCATTGGGAAAACAACACAAAGCAGTGCTTGGATACATTACTTTTTAAAAAACAAACACTAAAACTAAAATTGCAAAACCTGTCTACAGCTTTTTAAAAATTAAATGTGGCTGAAGAATTCTGGATGTAGCAGTTTAAAGAGTAACTTTTGGTTTCAGTACTCACTTTTTTTGTTTGTCTTTCTAAGCATTGGGCCAATCTAATGTTATGTAATTCACACCCAAGATGGTAAGAAGGATACCAAAATAACTGAGATACCTGTGTGAACTTTATATATTTGTTACAGTGAATGTCCAAAATGTAGCAATATGTTGACAATCCAAAATCAAAGCTGACAATGTCAGAAACATTCTTGATATACCAGTGAATGTTATCGTTATTGTTGTTAACTGCCATCCTATTGACTTTGACTTATGGCCACCCAATGAATAGGTGTTAGAACAAGAGAGGGGAGAACCAAATTTTTAGTTACAAAATGTATTGGGCAACCTTGGATATTTTCTCATTTCACCCAACCACATTGTATTATTGTGAGAAGAAAAAGTGGAAATGCTCTGGTTTCTGTGGAAAAGGAGTTCAGAGAAATACACAAACACAATGAGTGAATGCTAGTCATGTGTAGAAATTAGTTACGTATCACATCTAACGTTTGGAATTCTGTGTTAAATAATAGAGTTAGAACATTTTCTTGTTTTTATCAGCAATATTACCTATAGTAATCTGACTTGTCCATTCACTTATCCCTGAATAATGCAATTGCTTTGGTCTGGCTCAAATGTAAGGCAAACCCACAGTTTAGTATTCTGTGGATGAACCTGTTCTCACCTCCAACCAGCTGTCACAGCCATAGCCACAAAGATAGTATTGGAAAAAATCTGCTTCCATTTTTCTTACAAACCACTGGCTGGCATCCTATTCAGTATTTCTAAAACTTGTTGTTTTTATTGTGTGCCTTCAAGTTGTTTCCAGCTTGTGGTGACCCCAAGGCAAACCTGTCATGGGGTTTTCTGGAGCTGAGAGTGTATGTCTTGCCCAAAGTGACCCAGTGGGTTTCCATGTCTGCACAGGGAATTGAACCCTGATCTCCAGAGTCACAGTTCAATGTTCAAATCACTACACTATGCTGGCTCTCATTTATGGGACATACAACAGCTTAATCTTTTGAATTCATCAAGAATAAATGTGTCCATGAGCTGAGATGGTTTTGGCAACATCATTTGGTATGAGAAAGTGATCCAAAGTTTTTCATACATGTTTGAAGTTCCACTTTTATTTGTTTAATTGTTTATTTTAAATTGTTTATTTGTATTAGCATTTTAAGTGTGTTTTAAATTGTCATTGTTTAATAGCATTTTAAGGGGTGGGTGGGATTGTGGGATATGAAATGTATATTTTAATGTTGTAAGCCACCCCAGTTGCATTATGCAGAGGGGCGGGATAATGATGATGATGAGGATGATGATGATGATGATGATGATAATAATTTTATATCATGTTATGTTTTATTTATTCTTTATGTCCCATCTTTCGTCCAGTTGGCTCAGAGCAGCCTACATGATTCCCCCTTCCACTTTATCAAAGGTAGGACAGGCTATTGTATTTTTATCCAGTGAAAAAATAGTAGTCAAGGGAATGAAAAAATTTCACTGAAAAGAAATTCAATAATAAAACCATTAAAATCATATAATTAACAACCAAGAAACATCAAAACAGTTTAAAAAATCAGTTTGAAGGGATGCTTATTCACACAAGGAATGGGCTCCCATCTGCCCACAAGCTACATTAGTACAAAAAAATATTACTAAGGATTGTGTATGCTCTGGTATGTGAAGAGGTCCATGGAGTGACAACTGGGTGACAACAATCCTAGTGATGCCACTGACTAGATCCAGTCTGATCTTGGAAGCTAAGCAAGGTGACCTGTGGTTAGCACTTGGATGGGAGACAGCCAATGAATACCAGGTGCTGTAGGCTATATTTCAGAGGAAGGAACTGGTGAAACAACCTCTGAGTATTCCTTGCCTAAGAAAACTTTATGAAATCCATGTGGTTGGCATACATCAATAGGCAACTTGAAGGTACATACAAATACAGTTGGTTCATTTAAGCTGAGTGTCCTCTGTGTATCCATTTCCTTACAAAAGTGCACAAATACCTGTGTCTCATATGGTAACCCATTCATTTTGATCATATGCAAAACCATTTGAATTTCAAACATGCAAGGCACCCTGGCCAGATAACTAAATATATTCATCCGCTCATCTTAATATTCATATATTAAGACCTGATTAGTTTCCAACCTCAACCCTCTAAACACTTACATAATCCAGTCCTGGGGTGGAATCTTTTTAGTACACGTTCAAAAAAAATGAAGGGGGTATTTTTAAAACTTAGTCCAGGGATTTAAGGCAAAGTCAAGCAGATATACAAAGAGAAGGGAAATAATTATACACACACACACACACACACACAGAGAGAGAGAGAGAGAGAGTATATATATATAATATAAACACATATATATATAATATAAACACACATATATATAATATAAACACATATATATATCATTGTACACAATGAAATATAATAATGAAATAATTACATATATATATAAAAACTAAAAGAAAATCTCCAGTAAACTTGGTTATAGATAAAATAATGGCCTAAAGCAAAAGCAAGAAAAGAGATGCAATCTAGAAAGGAAGTATGGTTGTCACACCCATTAAAAAGCCTTTTTTAAACATGGTTGCTTCTAAAATTATACGGTTAGCATTAACTACTTTGCTAAATGTAATTTCAGAGCAGCTTGGCTATGCTGGGACCAATAATGTTTCAGCAGATGTTAACAGTGAGGGAATTTAAAGATTACAGGGTTTCATGGGTGTAGTAAAGCTGCGGTGGGAACAGAAATATTGCCGTAGCTGTTATGTTCTGAGTGCACCACATTTACTGACAAGTAATACATGACTGATAGTGAGGACCAAGGGAACAGAACTTTATACTTACTGGTCAGCAGCATATAAATTCCATAAATTAAACAAAGTTTTATGCATTTTTCATTTCTTTTCAGAGTGATGCTCTCTGAGGACCTTGGTTTCACATATATTCCAACCACAAAGCATAGCTCTAAAAGTCTCTCTCTCTCTCCTCTCTCTCTCTCTCTCAAAGGTATTCCCCCAAATATATGACTCGACGCTCCTTTTTCTCCATGTTCTTCTCTTCTGCTTCCTCCCTCTGCATGGTTTTGGTGATACCTTTTATAGCACTGATCTCTGTCACATAATGAAGTCATAAAATCTGGTACTATATAGTGTAATACCTATATTTACACCAGCTCCCTCCACCCTCTTTCCCAGGGGAGTCAGAAATGCTGTTATATCAAGAGAGAGATTTTTTTTCTAAGAGTTATAGGTCACTTTCATAAGTGACACAGAGAGCCTTTGGGGGAAGGAGTGTTTTCAACTTCACAAATGTTTGCAACACTGAGGTGGCAAAGAGCCATCAAAATGCAAACCACAAACCCTGCTAGGGAAACTATCTAATTGCAATGATACAATACACTGCTTTTTGTACATATGATGAAACTACATTAGCACTTTTGCTGAGCATGAAACATCAGGGTGCCTGCCTAGGGCATCACTTCTACTAAACAAACAGAATGAGGGAAATCAGGGGTTCAAAAGGGAAATAAAAATGTGGTGATATCACAGGGGGAAAAAGCTACACAGCTGAAATGCTCACTATCTGAGGAATATATGAGTTAGGGAGAGAAATAAAAGGAAGGGAGGTGTGCAATATAAAACAGGGCAGGGTGGACAGCATTTCTCTTAAGAGGGAGGAGGTGCTGCAAAATATTGTTGCTGGTCTCACTTGCTCCTTCTAAGGGAAACTCATATAGGCTGAGCTGACATAAACAGAGCTCAGATGGGTCCACTGAAAAGCAAAAGGATGGTATTAATACTACTTGTAGATTATATCCTTGCTATTGATTTATTGCTGTTTGTTTATTAAAATGTTTCTATGTTGATTTTGACAGTTTTACTTTCGTTTGTTTAACTTTCACTTTTCTAATTATGCCCAATGTAGATTGTAGGTTCCTGGGGCAGCCACCTTCCTTTGACTCACAACAATCCCCCAGTTTCTTTCTTACCTGTTTGAGACACTTTTCAAATGATTTAATATATGTGCCTATTAATACAAATAGAGAAATGTTAAATGTTTACATTTTACAAGCTTGATCTATGTAAAATATTTACCTAAGCAACTCCTCTGTTGTTGTTATTTCCAGCTTATGGTAACCCTGTCACAGGGGTTTCTGGGGCTGAGAGTGTGTGACTCATGGCTGAGCAGGAAATTGAACCTTGGCCTCCAGGATTGTAATCCAATGCTCAAACCACTGACTACATCATGCTAGCTGGCAATTGCACAGTTCATTTATACCACTGATTTTTATTCAGTTTGACATCCTTTGCAGACTACTTTGGTGAAGCATTCTTGATGGATATTGTGGTTTGCAATAAATTTTCATTGCTCAGACTTTTAGAGAATCAGTTTCTTTGCTTGTATTCTTTTTTCACATTTTCCATCTCTCTCTCTCATCTATACTATAAAATTAGTACATTGCAATGAGACAATGAAATGTAGGAAACACAAAAGGCTAATGCTTGTTTCCTTTGCTCACTTTCCCAAAATCATTACAACAATGGAATTTTGTCATAGTTATAAAATAGTTTGTAATTGTTACAACACACATACAATTACATTTGGTGTTGGTTCCCAGCAAGAAAGAAAGAGCAGTGCTGTTTGATAGTGAAGGCAGTGGCCCTTCTATTGAATGGCATCATTGTATCACCACGACCACCACCATCATCATTATATCTTTATTTATATGTCACCTTTCCCTTCAAGCTGGAACTTAAAACAGTTTTACATTGAAATGAGTATAATAGCCCAAAATCTTGTTGTTCATCCTAAACTAGAGTAGACTCATTCAGTCAATGAGATTTAACTATGGAGCTGAACAGATGGCCCCTAAGGGGTGGTGTCCTGTCACCCCTTTCCTTGCCAGATTGGGGCTGTGGCAACTGCACACCATGGCTGGAGTGTGTGTGGGGGGGTGGCAACTACATGCCAGTTGCCTCAATTCCGTGCTGATGCAGCTGTCACTCTGCCCATTCAAACAGATGGCAGGTGCATCAGGGTGCTCACTTGGCACAGCGTTCACACACACTGTGCCAAAAGAACACCAAAAAGCCACCACTGCTGTGGCAAGGGCAGCTTTTTGCTGCTCAGCCCATATTTTTAAGACCATATAAAAGATAGATTTAAACTGTTAACAATAAAACAATTAACATTTCCATTTTGAAGTTATAAAAATAATTTAAAACCAGGGGCCAAAAATTCTCTATCATCAGTTGTAGGTATGATGATGGAGAGCCATTGTTGTAGGTACAGTCAGCCCTTTCCCACCATGGCCTTCCCATCCATGGATTGGAGCATCCACAGATGGCCCCACCCATTCTACCCAATGGTAGTGTGTGCATGTGGCTGCATCAGCATGGTTATGCGCTCATTGCACCACCATTGGGGAGAACGGGACTTGAGCACCCATGCTATTTGCTATCCATGAGAGGGTTTGGAAGAGAACCCCTGCAGATATGAAGTACCAATAGTATATGTGACAGTGCTACCCCAAAATCAACCATTTTAGCCTGGCAGCA